GGAGGGAGGCGGTGAATGCTCATAGCATACCACGCAGCCGGCTGCGTGGTTATGTGGAGACTTTTACCCACTAAACACCGCCTTTTAGGAAATGGCTTAACGATCTGACTAGAGATCTCTAAGCCGTATACGAACGCGACCCTCCTTGGCAGAAAGGAGGGCGCAAACGAACGCGCGCTGGCCTGCACAACTTTTATAGCCCAGTCCAGCGACGTAGCTACGAGAAGATATACACGGGTCTCACGCCGGCAAATGAAACGCACATAATAGTTGTATTTTGATTAATCTTTATTGGTCGTAATGTAAGAATTGTAATTGGCTAGGCAAATAAAAATTGTTATTATTGGTAAACTAGCGACGTAGCCGGACATATAAATGTAGGCAGGATTGACGTTAAATGTATTCCATATTCCATATTCAATATTCGATACATCATTCGTTTGCACATAAAATAGTAGTTTCATTTCTCCGCCACTAGACAACTCAGATCTATTACAGTACATAATATTTGAATTCAAAAAGAATGTACATCACTTTTAAGCATTGAAATAATTTTAAAATGTAACATTTGGTTTGTGTAGTTAGCTGTATTTCATACAATTTTTGCATGCCAATTATGGCCAAACATGTCAGTTCCACGTCATTGATCATCTTAAGTACCATTTTAAGCAAATAAATTTTCTATCTATCTTCTTTTGAATTTGATATCTTTTTGAATTATTAACATAATTTTGTATTACAAGAAGACACAGCGCGGACGCTTTAATTATTTCGATATGCCATGCCATAGACGAAGGTCGAAAGCGAAAGTGATGTGAGTGGTAGGGCAGAATGTAAATACACACTTCTCTCAATCCTGCTATGGCAGTATTTAGCGAAGTATGCCCTCCGCAGAGATCGTGATTCTTTACGCGACTTTAACGCCCATGAGGCCGAATGGCTTGGTTCACGTTTAACCAATCATGCGGGGAGATCTGTTCATGATTTTGCTTTGGCATATGGTTTGACACAACTGGTTACTTCGCCTACGCGGATTCCGGATGTGGAGGATGATGCACCTTCCCTGTTGGACTTTCTGCTGACCTCTCACCCGGACGGATATCAGATTTCAGTCGACGCCCCTTTAGGCTCCTCGGACCATTGTCTTGTCCGGAGTGTGGTGCCACTCACGCTGAAATCGCAGTTGCATTCTGCAGGCTGCCGCCGTGTTTGGCACTATAGGTCAGCCGATTGGTATGGGATGCGGTCTTTCTTTGCATCCTACCCTTGGGGGCGGATTTGCTTCTCGCCTGACGATCCCAACGTTGTTGCGGATTCTGTCGCTGATGTGGTACTTCAGAGTATGGAACTTTTTATTCCTTCCTCTGTGGTGCCCATTGGAGACAAATCTCAGCCATGGTTTGGTCGCTCCTGTAAAATAGCACCATGCTATAAGCAGGAGTGCTACCAAGCCTGGGCTGACGCATCAGCGTCCCGGAATGTAAACACCAGCGCTCTAAAAAAGAAGTATAATTCCGCCTCTAGGTCCTTCAAAAGAGTCATTGCCAAGGCAAAGTCAGAGCACATAGGCAGAATTGGCGAGAAACTAGTTCGCCTTCCTTCTGGAACCCGTGCATTCTGGTTTCTCGCCAAGACTGTACAGCGGAATTTCTATCAGCCACCTCTTCCATCTCTGCACAGGGAGGACGACTCACTGGCCCATAGCGCAAAGAAGAAAGCCGATCTGCAAGGCTCTTTCTTTGCGTTCAACTCGACTCTTGATGACGGGGGGAGTACGCCGCCGATCCCGCGGTGTGAGTGCTCCATGCCAGAAGTGCAGTTTACACAGCGCTCGGTTCGCAAAGCACTCCTCTCCCTGGACATCCACAAGTCGAGTGGGCTTGATGGAATCCCCCCAATTGTGCTGAGGACGTGTGCTCCAGAGTTGGCACCGGTTTTAACGCATCTTTTCCGGTACTCCTACTCCCTAGGCGTAGTCCCAAAATCATGGAAGACGGCTTTCGTCCACCCGATCCCTAAAAAGGCGACCGCTCAGATCCGTCCAACTACCGGCCTATCGCCATCACCTCCTTGTTCTCCAAAACAATAGAGTCCGTTGTAAACTGCCAGCTCATGAGGTACCTTGAGGATCACCAGCTGATTAGTGATCGCCAATACGGTTTTCGCCGTGGTCCGCCAGCTGGTGATCTTTCTTGGTCTTGGTGATCTTCTGGTCTACCTAGCTCACAGATGGGCGGAGGCAGTAGAGTCCAAGGGGGAGGCATGGCATTGGCATTGGTTAGTTTGGACATTGCGAAGGCCTTCGATCGGGTTTGGCACAAAGCGCTTCTTTCGAAGCTCCCTTCCTATGGGCTTCTCGAGAAATTGTGCGATTGGATCACCAGCTTTCTTGCAGATCGGAGCATCAAGGCCGCTGTAGACGGTGCACGCTCTGATTGCAAGCCTATTAATGCTGGTGTTTCTCAAGGCTGCGTGCTATCGCCAACGCTGTTTCTTCTGCATATCAATGATATGTTGCAAACCCGTAACATTCATTGCTATGCAGATGACAGCACTGGTGATGGCTCTTTACACCGGCCGAGCCAATATTTCTCGGGAAAACGTCTCCGAGTACCGGGACAAAATTTTGTCTGAAGTCGAGTCTTTGCTGAACAGATTCTCGGATTGGGGGCGACTAAATCTAATCCAGTTTAACCCCCAGAAGACACAAGTTTACGCGTTAACCGCTAAAAAGAACCTCTTTGTCGTATCTCCTCAGTTTCAAGGCACTTCCCTTGTTGCCTCAGCCAGTATCGGAATCCTCGGCGTCGACATATCGTGTGACGTGCAGTTTCGTGGTCACTTGGAAGAGAAAGCCATACTGGCTTCTAAAAAGCTTGACGTGCTCAGCAGAGCGGGACAGTATTTCATGCCAGCACACCGCCTGCAACTTTACAAGGCGCAGGTTCGGCCGCACATGGAATACTGTTCCCATCTCTGGGCTGGGGCTCCCCAGTACCAGCTCCTTCCACTTGACCGCATCCAGCGCAGAGCGGCTCGAATCGTCGACGACCGAGTGCTTTCCGATCGGCTCGATTCACTGGCACTGCGAAGAGATGTTGCATCTCTTTGCATTTTTTTTCGCATATACCATGGAGAGTGCTCTGAGGAATTGTTCGGATTAATCTCAGCCGCCAAATTTCGTGAACGCACTACGCAGCTAACGTCCCGATACCATCTACACCATTTGGATGCTTGGCGGTCCACCACTGTACGTTTCAAGAGTTTTCTTCCGCGTACAACCTCTCTGTGGAATAGTTTACCACCGGCGATTTTTCCGGACCGATACGACCTGGGGACCTTCAAGAAAAGAGCTTACTCCTTTCTAAGAGCCGGCAACGCACCTGCAATTCCCCTGGTGTTGCGGTTAATCATGGGCGGTGGTAGTCACTTAACATCAGGTAAGCCGCATGCTCGTTTTCCCCCTCTTCTATAAAAAAACAAAAACAAATGCTGTAGTGTGCGTTTATAGTGACGCGATTTAATTTTGCATTTGTAGTTAAGTATACAGTTGTTTGCTTTTCTTGCGCCCCCCTGATGTTGACAGAATTTTCGTTTAGGAATTAACGCGCATGGTCTCTCCAGTTGGTTGGACTCAAAGGGCTCTGTCAACGCCCAACAAAAAATGTGGACCTTAGCGCCCAATCTAGCGCTTTTTAAATAATATTCCTCTTCTTTGAAATATCAACATTTAAGGGAACATAATTATTCAAAATAAATAAAACAACAGTGCAACAAATATCTAAAGCCTCATAAATAAAAAATATGTATTATTTCATGATATTTTAACAATAAATAAAATTGAAGATTATTAAGACCCAGCGCCACATCGCAATTACAATTTCGAAAAGTAATTGGAACCGTTTTCTGACTTGGAAAAGAGCAATATACGTAAAAGATGAGTTAACTACACTGAAAAATTAATGAAAGAGTTACAAGAGAGATTGCAAAAGAACTTTCACATATTAAAAAAGTGAATAGGTATAATTAATGTTACTGAAACTTTATAGACGAACAATGGGTTGAAAATCATTCAATTAGCTAAATGTTTCGGCATATGTGCAGATGAGATAAATAAAATCATTGGTCAGTGGCGCAATATAGTATCTGAGACATGGATAATCACAAATGACGCTATACAATTTTGGACAGAAGTTAAAGAATACAAAAAGGCTGTTGGTAACAACCCATTTCAAGAATTGGCAGATCTTGCTTTACATGTTTTGGTTTTACCCCACTCGGACGCTGACATCGAAAGGATTTTCAGTCTGATAAATGTAATTAAATCACAGTAACTGAACCGTATAAATCTTAATACACTCAGTTCGATTTTATATATGAGAACTGACTTAAAAATTTAATTTCGACTTGCTTTAGTAATGACATTCCAAAAGAAGTGACAAAAAAGTAGGCAGCAAGAATGTCGACATTCAAACTATTAAAATTCCACTACAGTACAAGCAGGACCTTCCACTTCTCAGCAGGAGAGCCAGAGAATTGTTCAAAAAGAACAAGATTCTGACGATGAAGAAGAGTGGCTAGTAAATTTGTAAATAATTTTTGTCTTTTCGTGTAATTTTCAATTAACAATAATAATTATCATTTTTTTTTATAATTTAGCGCTTTTTTTTTTTCGAAAAATATCCAAATCTAGCGCTTCTATGAAGTCAATTCAGCGCGTCCTCTTTAAACTGTTGACAACACTACTGGTGTTATTGTTCTGTGGCAACACTCATTATTCAAGTTTCACAGTCAGCGCGTTTTACGAAATATTATTTTTGGGAAAACTTATCCCTTATTACTAAAACTTTAGTATAAAGCTTTTCAATATCGTATATCTATTTGATGAGACTAAAGCGCTAAGAAATATAGGTGTAATTTGTTGCATTGTAATTGCAATATAGTTGTTGATAATTTTGAAATTCGATACCGATCAGGTTTTATCATATATTTCAATAAGGATGAGGTAAGAATTTATTATTAAAAATCTTAGATCTTTTAATGTCTCTAAGATGAACTTGATCTCTAAAAACATAATGAAACTTAGGAGAGAGAGAGATACAAAACGTAAATATATAGATATTAAATCAATTAAATATATATAAGAACATCTTGGGCTAACGATTAGCTAGGTACTTAGTGTGCCCCGATACTTACCTTCTAATTTACGTAATAACATTGCACGAGAAAATATGAAAACAAAATAAAAGCGGTCTAGGTGCGACTCGAAAGGTCCACGACTAACTTCCCAGTGGAAAGAATAAAAAAAATGTTTTAATATTTGATACAATTTTCATTCAGCACAAAAAACGACAACCGATTTTGCTCAAAATTTAATGAGGTGTAAGTTACATAATAATAATTTCTAACTCTGAGTACTTGCACAGGCACAACCTAGTAGCCAGAATTCTTCACCAGGAGCTCGCTCTGAAATACGGTCTCGTGGATCGGAAATTGCCGTATTACAAGTACTTGCCGGAAGCCGTGCTCGAAAATGATCGCGCCAGGCTCTATTGGGACCGGGCCATCATCACAGACAGGACTATTCTTGCGAATAAGCCTGATATTGTGCTGATGGACCGGGCACAGTCAAGGATATTTTTGGTCGACATTACCATTCCGTATGACGAGAACCTCGTGAAAGCCGAAACAGACAAGCAAACAAAATATCTGGACCTGGCTCACGAGGTGACTGACATGTGGGGTGGTCTGCCGACCCGAAATTATTCCTGTAGTCGTCTCTGCAAACGGGCTAATCCCAGTCAGCCTCTCGGGTCATCTGAGGCGACTGGGACTACGTGGCGGACCGCTCCGGGCTCAAATGCAGAAGGCGGTGCTCCTCGATACCGCCCGCATCGTCCGCCGGTTTCTTTCCCTTTCCCCCTAACCCTCGGCCGTTTGGTCTCCCCTGCCGAGGGCCTCCATCTGGTTGGGTTTTTTATTTATTTATGTATTTTTATATTTATTTTATGTTATTGATATTTATGTATATTTATCTTTTCATTTTCATTTATAATTATATATTTATAGAACCCAACCAGATGAGAAAACTATATAATAATAATGTCCTCCAGACCGAATTTTGGCCATGCAGGCCGTGCCTCAACGGAGGCTAACCATCGGCACAGGACAGGATTATAGTGCCCAAGCGTATGTGCAAGCACAAGTGCACTCTCTATTCTCTCACTCTCATAATCCGATGGGACAGTAAATCGACACAACCGGAGAGAGATCAGGCGCAGGACCAACGGCTTTAGGTGCTTTCCGAGGCACGGGGGTGAGACACCGCCAACTTCCTGACTCCGGGCAACTACTGAGAATTTCTTCAATAATTGATTTTTTTGGTCCGACCCGGGATTCGAACCCAGGACGTCATGATCAGTAGTTGCATTACTACAACCACTAGACCAACGAGACAGTCTAAGTTACTTAATTATGCATTAATTGAAACAGGTCCCATGTCAATATCACGTTGTTCTCGAGATACACGAGGCGAAAATTGAAATTGAAAATATATATATAATACATACATATGTCCATGTGCACACATGGACACCTTAAAAGCCATACTATTTGACTAACGACCTTGAAATGTGGAGATATGTTAAAATTTCCAATTTGCAAAATCAGACCCATTACAATAACTTCCCACTGGGAAGTTAATTAAAATCACTTTATTATTATTTAATTACCTAAGTCATATAATTATATAAATTTTGCCCGATTTTTAAATTATTTACAATACAATGTAATATTAATTTTTCTTTATCAAACCTGGAAACATCTATTAACCTAGATGATAGCATTATTTACAAACCTTTGTGGTATATATATAGATATTTCACTTGTTTTTGTATTAAACTTAGAAATCAATTTTTTTTAAATCATTGTAATATCTTAAATAACAGTAATTTAGTATAGTATCTATACAATATAATGTTCCAGGAATTATACTGTTTCTAGATGCATTAAGTATAGTATAGCTAAGATTCGATATTCAAAAAAATACCCACACCTTAAAATGTGTAATAAAACGAAAAGGCTTTTTTTTAATGTTGCAATTTGTGCAGATTTATTTTGATGTATTATTCTGTTCATGCTTTTGAATCGAAATTTTCAAATATGTATGAATTTTTTTGAAGGTATTCCATAAAAGTAGTTAGTACAATCAGGTGAGCCACATGACTGTATGCCTCCTTGTATATAAAAAAACTTAAATTGAACTTATATATAATAACTGACTATAAATTAAATTAACTACCTTCGAGAAGGAAACCTTCTTCCAGGCCACCTTAAATATCTTAGTCATGTTCTGCAATTATAATAAAAACCCTAATAAAATCTTTGTGCAACAATTATTATATTTTATAAAAAAAAACGATATACCTTTTTACGACAGATTACCTTATTATGATAGGTTGTATGTGATGATAACAAAATACTCAATACCAGAATGATTTCGGTTATGTAAACATAATCTTCAAAGACACATTACTAACCCAAAATAAGAATGTATTATTTAAAAGTATGATTTATTCACAACAAATACAAACATAAGTACAAACACAACTTTGATATTGGATAAACTAATTAGAAAATGGATTATTTTAAATAGTGTAGTAGTGGAGCAATTTTTTTTTCAGGGTATTTTTAAAAGCAAACAGAAAAGCAGAAAAACAATGTGTCAACAAAAAGAAGGATTTCGAAAAAGATTTTCACTTTAAAATCCCAGATAACAGACCACCTGGGTGCCTTACGAGAAGTCAGAAAAAAATTCTAGATAACTATCTAAAGAATTTTATAATAATAGAGTTGTACAAATGTATGCCCCTCTTGGGTGACGAACAGAATATACCCAATTGGGTAATACATGCTGCACATTATTGTGCTGTTTATCCAAATACAAGTAATTGTAAAGGGTAAACGCTATTGCCACTTCAAACTTAAATCTACAATATACAACTAGTTCAAATCAAAGCCTAAACTGTCCATTTGATTATATTAATAAACTACTTAAATTATAAAATATTTAAAAGTATTAGAACAGTATTAGAAAATAGTAGTATATTTTAATTACAATCTTAAGTCTGTTTAACTGTCAAAATGGAAAAATACAATAAGAAGACAATATATAAACACTTCTATAAAATAAATTTAACTATATAATAATTAAAGTACAAATTAGCTAAACAATAAGTTTACATTGGCACTATTTGTCTAGCCACAATTATGAGCACTTCGTGTTATCCAGTTGTATATTGTTTACCGAAGCATTTTAAGTAAAATATATCTGGCACAAAAATAAAAAATAAAACTGCAAGTGTTTTGATAAAACATATAGACAATATAATTGAAAAAAATGATAATTATTTTATTATGATGGTTTATACAATGTTGAGCATTGATATATTTGATTAAATCACCATTTTTGAAACTGCAGTTATATTAGGACATGTTAAGTTATGTCATTTTGATATTTCATAGTTTTGTTACATAACATTATATTCTAAGAGAGTTTATGAAATTAAATATTACAAATATTTATTTGTCTTTTACTAAAATACCTCACTGCAAAAATATTGCTTCTCAGTCAATTTAACTCTGTTAAAAATGTTAGAATTTTAATAATATAATAAAAATAAAAATTATGTTACCTATTTAAATTGATCTGTAGCTTGTGAAGTAAAAATTTGAGGAAGAAATTTCTTTAAATTAAGTTCACCCAGTTCTATAAATCATTTTCAGTGTATTTTATCAATGTAACAATTAATGATTTAACTATAATTTATTGATTTACTTCATTTTTTGTATGGTAGAAATACATAATAGGTTTTTTAGGTCTCAACAACACTACATTTTAAAAATTCGTAATTTTTCCCGATACAAGTTTGATAATTATCAAATTTTGTTAAAGGCTAACAATTTTATTCTGCATATGACTATAGCTTCATACCAGCAAGTGGAGTGTAGGTCCCCCTCTAGGTGAAGTGAAAATCTGGTAATATATGCAGGAAGTTGATGCAGGTGGCACTGACTCTTACTCTAGGGGCAGTGCTATATTCAGGAGTGAGTTGATGATGATGATGAATATGACAGAAGATAATTCCAGCATGGATGTAACTCCATTAAATAATTTTAACAACAGAAATAATTGAAATAAAAGATGAGCAGCAGCATCTTTCTAATAACAATTTAAAATAATAAAAAACTTTGGTGCCAACTTGTTTCCCCAGTATGGCAACTACAGCAAATTATTCTCCCTACATTGCAATCTTTGGAGGTCTGTTTCCATGGACTTTTGATTTGCAAATATAAAAGTGTAACAATTGAACTATATTATACTTTTTTCTTAATTTTCTTCAGTCTAGAAAAGTCTACTGCTGAATATACGCCTCTTTCGTTTCAGAGAATTTGCCATTATCGCCAGATATTTTACAACTTTTACACTGCTACCCGTCACTGCTACGTTTTAAATCTGGCGTAAACTAGATGGGTATACCATCATCTAAAATGTTCATAATGCTTTCCAAAAAATTTGTTTATCTATATTAAACTAACCATGTAGTGGCAGTGTAAGAATATCCACTAGCCTATATCTTCCCGTGGGTGTCATGAGACGTAACAGGAGGATACTGAAACATGTTATGAGCAGCAGCAAAAAACTGGCTGCCAACCTGCCAAGACTGGCAACTACAGCAAAATCCCTCCTATGATGTCTATGTATAGCAGTGGACTTTTATAGGCTGTAATGGATGGATGCCACTATCCATCGGGAGATACAAGATTTTTCTGGCCTTTCCCATAATCGCATTTTCTGAAACCCATTTCATACAACTGTTATTCCTTCTCCACATGTTTATACATACAACTGTAATCTTCAATTGCCATTTTAGCGTCGCGTCGTGTAGTACTGCCCTATAGAATCGCATGGATTTCGTAAAAGCTGGCTAAAAGAATTGAAACATAAGATGGGTAGCAGCACCCTTACAATAAATTACAACCGTTTCCTCTCTTCCACCTTTAAGCGCTCCCCTCTGTATCGAAATGTCCAGTCTTACTATAATATCAACTTTAACTCTGTAGATGTTGCAGCATCACATCCTAGTATGTTAAAAAGCAAATTTTTGATTTGTTTTGATTTTGAACTTTTCATGCGTTTATAATTTATTTTTGTATATAAGCTGTGGTAAATGTTGTTGGTATCGCAATTGGTAAGGTTGTTTTATTTATGTTCTTGAAATATTAGTGCCATTGTTTATTTACCCCAATACATTTTAAAATATCTATGTTGGAATTTAAATGAACAGGAATAAAAGAAAAATTTCATACAATTAAACACCGAAAATATCAAGAGAATTGGGACTTGTCATTACATTTAATCAATAACGAAATTATTGAGTTGATGAGAATTTAATTTTACTATTAGCTTGATGTATATTGAATGTCGTGTACAATAGTTTTTACAACATTGTAGAGTGAGAGTGTATTATTAAAAATGAAGTAATATATTTCTTATAACCACATCTATAGTAATAACATGGAAGAGGCAGAAACTCGCGCATTTTTAAGCGTATGTAAGAAAGCGCTTCAGAAAAGCAATCTCTAGTGGATAATCTATTGAGTAAAACTCAACCACATACATTAATGAAGCTTTTGAAGTTCTCTGATTCAAATCCCAAATTCACAAAATAACTGCAGGCCAATCATGTTGGTATGACTGTATTGTATGTTGCCATAAAATCTGAAAAAGTAAGAAACATTTCCTGCAATATTTTTAATTTTCTGGTTAGGATATGAATACATAAATTTTTAAGATTTTATTAAAAGCAAGCATAGTTATTAAAACTATCGAATTACTCATAGTGTTATCGTGTTAAAGTAAACATAGTTTGGTTCCCAAATGGTAGCCTGTAATTGCAAGGTATAATCGCCCACCCCCCACCCAACCCTGGAAACATGGATGGATATGTAAGACGTGGAAGTAGTTGGAAGATGCAAGTGGCTCAGGATTGTTGTTTATTCATATATATCATTTATACTTTGAGCAGGTCTATATATATAGCAGTGAACTTGCGATGGATTTTAATATAGATGATGATTTTTATGTCTATATCTTAATTGAAGATGATTTTTATTCTATATTCTTCAACAGAGAAATATTCATTATTTTTCTACTGCACACACTTTCTAAATATCAGTCTGGAGTCGTACAAAATATATTTCTATTTTAATTAATTAAGCATTCTTATATATTTTATATTTGTATAACACAAGTGTGTTATATACATCTCGCACTCTTAACTCTCCTGGAAGTTGCTTTCCCCACTGAAAGTACAACCAGAATGTTGAATGATGTGGGAAGCTGCATAAATACCACATTTCACACAAGTCTCATATGGTTTGCCTAACACCATTTGACTGAGGAAACCACCTGTGAAGGCATCCCCTGCTCCATTCGTATCCACAATTTGCTCTTTTGACAACTTCTTGACCGGTATCTGTGATACTTTATCGCCTTCGACAAGTACAACCGGTTCACTACCCTGTGTTATTATAACTACTCTCCGCCTTGAGCTATTTAGTTTGGGAAGTGATGCAATATTTTCTGCGATTTCCTTTGGATTCTTGCCAGTTAAGTTGAATGCCTTGGCAAATGCTTCAGCTTCCTGGAATTAAAAAATATGTAAACCTTTTATTACACTATCAATATGTTTGTTCTCTTTCAAATTAAATATTTTTAATATTTTTTTTCAAGATAGTTTGTATACACTGGATGACCTTTTTTACCGCCTGAAAAAAAAATAGGGTGTAACATATGAACGGAGTAGAAGCCTATTGATATTAAAAAAAATTTAAATTAAAATCTATTGAAATTCAAATCCTATCCTACTTTACGAATGGCAATAAAACAATACATTTTGTAGGCATCTTGGACTTTGTCACTTCGCAGAGTCACAGGCTCAAGGTCAATTTGTTCAAAAAATTTTTTTTTCAAACGTTTAATTAAAAATTTTATGTTTTTGTGTAATATCTGCCATAGGCTTACTCCGTTACATGTTACACCCTTTTTTTTCCAGACGGTATAAAAGGTCATATAGTATAATAAGTAATAGGTAGAGGGAAAAGTGGGCTACTAACAGTTTCATTTCCAAACAAAACATCAACATAAGGTATCAACTTCTCCAAGGGCTCCTTGTAGTACTGTGAGACAAAGGGTGCACTGAGATTCATGATGAAGGTAAGCCCGTTCTTGTGTGCGTGTTCCGCCAACTGCATTATTGACTCCGGTGATACCGCTACAAAGAAGCCCTAAAACATAAACTCTTTCTGGTTTTAACTCGATTACAACATAATGACGGTAATTACACTAGCTATAAGCGAATTCCTTTTGTGAGGGCTTTCACGTGGGGTTGTAGAGAAAGCTGCTTTCATCTTCTCAAGCATGTGAAAAAACCTTCATCATTTTGTGTAATACCACTACCACCAATCAACCCAATACCACTAAAACTACACTAAAAGCCATACAACACCGCCAATAATTTTTATTTTTAATACGTCACGTGTTTTTTCTGTTTTTAGGTTTACATAATACGAGATATTTTATAAAATTGAAATGATAAGTGAACAGACAAAAATTTTAAGAATATTTTTGGTTATAAGTACCGTATATACTTTCATATTCATTTAGTTTAGCATTTTGACATTACAAACAGCCACTTCAATTTTATTTATTTGTATAGATGTAAGATAAGATTAGCACCTGTTATTACTATGGCCAAAAACTCAAGCACTACTTAACTTTAAGAAGTTAAATCTCGTGGTCTCAGTCACTTTTTTGACATAGTGTTTGGTCAGACTGCAAGCGCGGGTGCGGGTACGGGCGCGACGTGACTGTCCGCAGTTGAGTGCGGCTTTGCGAGTGTTGTCGAAATCAGTGTTTGTCAGGCTATAACATGGATGAAGAAGATTTATTTTTACTTGAAAGTTTACTTTAAATGGCAAATTCTACAAGTGAAAAATGGAATTAATGAAATCAATTTAAGCAGAGAAAACAATTTTATTTCATTCCACAATCTTAAATTAACTTTTTTATTTTTGTATTGGTGATGCTTGGTGCACAATGCAGGTCGTGCTTGATGTGCTTATATATTTATTTAGGAAAACGCCATTAGTACGCACGCGGTTAGCTCGATATGGTATGAGTTGCCCGCTCCGCGCGTGGTTAGACGCTTGCCGCCCGCGCATTCACTGCGCCCAATTGTATTAACTCACTATGGCGTGACACGTATGCGTCTCCGCGCCCGTCGCTGCGTCCGCCTCGCACCCGCGTGGCTACTATGGACACTCAAAGGAAGACTTTGTTCGCGCCCGCCCCGCGTCCGCGTTTGAAGTCTGGCCGAGCGCTTAAAGTGATAGAGACAGCACGAGACTTGACGGCATCGTAAAATTGAGCAGTGTTTAAGTATTTAGACAATACTCCCTTACCGATGTGCAAATAAAGAGGGCCGAGCGTATGCTCTCTCGGCACTCGTGCTTGGCGAGGTGGTCGGGCGTGAAGCGCTGCGCGGCGGCCAGGTGGCGCACAGATACTAGCAGCTGTTGTTCGCTCACTCACCGAGGCGTATATAAAGCGAGCGGCGCGTATGCTCTCTCGGCACTCGTGCTTGGCAAGGTAGTCGGGCGTGAAGCGCTGCGCGGCGGCCAGGTGGCGCACAGATACTAGCAGCTGTTGTTCGCTCACTCACCGAGGCGTATATAAAGCGAGCGGCGCGTATGCTCTCTCGGCACTCGTGCTTGGCGAGGTGGTCAGGCGTGAAGCGCTGCGCGGCGGCCAGGTGGCGCACAGATGCTAGCAGCTGTTGTTCGCTCACTCACCGAGGCGTATATAAAGCGAGCGGCGCGTATGCTCTCGCGGCACTCGTGCTTGGCGAGGTGGTCAGGCGTGAAGCGCTGCGCGGCGGCCAGGTGGCGCACAGATACTAGCAGCTGTTGTTCGGTCACTCACCGAGGCGTATATAAAGCGAGCGGCGCGTATGCTCTCTCGGCACTCGTGCTTGGCGAGGTGGTCGGGCGTGAAGCGCTGCGCGGCGGCCAGGTGGCGCACAGATACTAGCAGCTGTTGTTCGGTCACTCACCGAGGCGTATATAAGGCGAGCGGCGCGTATGCTCTCTCGGCACTCGTGCTTGGCGAGATGGTCGGGCGTGAAGCGCTGCGCGGCGGCCAGGTGGCGCACAGATACTAGCAGCTGTTGTTCGGTCACTCACCGAGGCGTATATAAGGCGAGCGGCGCGTATGCTCTCTCGGCACTCGTGCTTGGCGAGATGGTCGGGCGTGAAGCGCTGCGCGGCGGCCAGGTTGGCGCAGAGCGAACGGTGCGTACCGGTCACCAGCACAGCGCACGTGCCTGTCGCCGCTTCGTACGTCACCTGGTACAGCACGCGCACGCCGTCCGCTCTGAGGGACGTATTTTAAATGTTCAGTGTTGCCACAAATAAAGGCGGGTATTCACTCCTTTTGAGCAAAACAGACTTTTGAGATGAAGCGACGATAATAAAATGAAAAATTACATAAACACTCACGCCTGTCACCCAGAGGGGTAAGCAGAGACTACAGACTTCCATTTGGCACGATCCTGACACACCTCTCTTGCCTCCTTCACATCCATACACCTACGCATACATGCTCGTCGGTTAAGGGTACTCCTAATTTGGCCCGTTTTCAATAAATCGCCAATTTGGTCGATAAATTTTCTACTAGGACGTCCCTTTCCGACTCTGCCATTCACTTCTGCACCATAAATTTTCTTTGTCACTCTTTTCTCATTCATTCTTTCCACATGACCAAATCACCGAAGCATTCCTTTCTTAATCCTGGTCGCAACATCATCTTGCAAACCACACTCTTCTCTTCTCTTCGAAGAGTGTAAAATGAAAAATGTTTATCCGCTTCAATTATATGGTTTAATAAGTAAGTCAAGATTTACAAAAATGAGTGCAGTGCAGTCCACCGTTAAAATCAATGAGAAAAATATATCCATCTATGGAGCAAAAGGAAGTAAGAAGTTGTTTAAGTCACTAATCGCAAAAAAAATCATAGATAATGTGAAAAAATTACCGTTTAGTGGCGGTGTAAGAATATCCACTACCCCATACCATCTCTGGGTGTCGTAAGAGGCGACATGGGGAAACAAATCAGGAGATGGACAGCAACGTTTTCCTAAAAACGACTAAAAATAAAAAATGCGGTTGCCAAGCTATAGCAAAAATCCCCTTATGAGGCAATCTGTGGAGAAAGACCTATGTTCAGCAGTAGATTTTGATAGGCTGTAACGAAAAGGAACAAGTAATCATCTCCCAGCGGTGTTTCCGGACCGATACAACTTAAGGACATTCTAAAAAAGAGCCTACTTCTTTTCAAAAGGCCGGCAACGCAACTGAAATTCACCTGGTGTTGCAGATATTAATGTAAGACGGTGATCACTTAGCATCAGGTGAGCCGCATGCTCGTTCGCCTCCTCTTCCATAAAAAATACATTAGGCTTGTCGATTCTCGAAATACAATACGCTCGAAAACAGCACGTAGAAGGTAAATCGGTCTGTAGTTCTTCAAGAAAGCGTTGTCGCTTATCTTGACGAACAATACCCATTGCACTTCTGCTCCACGGCTCAGGAGGAATGTCACCATGGAGGACGGAATTGACGAGCTTCTGGAGCTTCAAGTACTGCTTTTCCACTCGCTTTTCAGAAGCTGCGCTGTAATTACATTCTCACCCAGGCCCTTGCCGTTATTAAGGTACTGGAGAGCCATTCTAATCTCGCTCAGTCTGACGTCCGAAATATCATCGGAGTAGTGTCGAACTGACAAAACGGATATGCAAAAACACACACACACATGTACGTACGCACTAAATTTCCCCGCTCCAACGACCTTAGGGGTATAGGCGCCGCCTAGTGCGGAACGATCGCAAGCACTTTCCATTGCGTAGGTATACCTACAGTAGTATATTTAGGTATTTTGCCATTGTATACGTATGGTATACTTATGCCGTATAATGACACTGATGTCAAAGTACCTAGTAAAGTTACAGATAGGTCCCCAATGCTTTAGTATCTATTGTAGTAAAAGTTGTAATTCTATCTACATTACACAATGTTTGATGTATTTTGATTTTTTTTTTTGTGAAGCAATAGCTTTTAAAATAATTTTTTACGAGTAACGAAACTCGTGATAAAGGACATAGAGTAATTTTTTTTGGAACCGTGCCCAAAAAATAAAAAATGTATCATTATGACCAGTGGTGGTTGTTGTTTATTAGTGTTGCCCAAAATCGGTCTTGGTCTTGCAGTCTTGCAAAAATGCAAGAACAAGACCAAGAACAAAGAACAAGACCGCCTAATTTTAGCAAGACCAATACCAAGACTGATCGTGCAAGATTTGAGCAAGAACAAGACTAAGCCTGCGAGACTCTTGCGTCTTGCAGTTAGGAATGAATGTCGTTTCAGGGAGTATAGGAGTTCGGGTATACGCTTAGGGACTCTATGAGACGCAAAAATATATAAAAAAAATTGGAAAATTGGACTTATGCGCATTACGAACAATACCATAAACATAGATAGCGGATGAAAATATCCATTAAAAGAAAAAACAGTGCATCCCTAGTTTTGACCATCGGCGCTTTGATAGTGCGCGGCGTCTTGTTGTCGGCATCATCAAAGGTCGAATACTGACCTGTCAAAGAAATTTTGCAGCTATTCGGAAGTACAAGGTCCTTACCTACTACTTATATACACGCGCCGGCGGCTTCTATTGATATCGCATTTAATCGTCGCCGCCGCGCCGCACGCACTACATTTGACACTGTTTGAATGCCGCCACAGAGTACATGTTTCAAAGAATAAAATAAGTTTCCGGGTGCTCAGAATGGACACGAATACATTATGCTGATCTCGCAAGGAATATTGTAATTAGATAATGGTAAGGATAGGTAGATACCATAATAATTTATTCTAATAAGTAATTATTATAATATTAACTATATGGGTTTATAATAATTACTTACTATTATTATTATTACCTAATAAAGATGTTCAATAAGTTCACTGCAAATATCGATTTTCGGAAGTGTGTTTTTTGAACACAAAGTGTTCGAATATGTCATCACCCATTTGATAAATATTGTAGACACTTTTAACACACTTGAAACGTGGAAACGTGTAAACATTTTGTACAATGCTAATCGAATAATATAAAAAGTGTGCATATTAAATAAAAAGCGTAAAATAAGATCTATGTACTTTTTAGGAGCCCGAGTACCTCTTAGAGAACCGTTTAAAGAAATTGATTGCATCGAATTGATGTAAATAATAGTGATTTGCACAATTTTAATAGTAGAAATAAAAATAAAATCACAATACCTGCTTTCCGGTTACACAAAGTATATAATGCGTTCTTGGGTAGCGATATACGCTTTTATAATAAGATTCCAAAAGAAATGTTAGATCTTTCACCTTTTCAATTTAAGTCAGACAAAAATGCTTGGAACTGACCTCTCGTACTACACAGGACTAACTAGAAATTTCTAAACCGATTTGGTATCTATATATACATTTGACATTTTATGTTTGACTTATCGCTTTACATAATTATAGAACTATTGTAAAAATATTTTAAAAAGAGCAACTACTGAGTTTCTTACTTTCTTCCATGATTCTTCTCAGTAGAATCAGAACCCCTGGACATGGAAAAGAAAAAATTGAGGAAAACAGTGATTATATGACTATTCAAAAGTGGATTTTTAATGCCTACTTGAATAAAACATATTTGAATTTTGAATTTCAAACGAGTGAAGGCTAATTTAATTAAATTAACGTAGATTAATTCTATCACAAGAAGAACATAATATACACAATTTTATTTACATATTTACATTACAAAATGTATCTATGTATGTAATGAATCATTAATTTTATCAAAGGATGCCGAACTTTCCTTTGTCGGTCTTTCGGCATGTACTTACAAATAGTAGTATTTATTTTAATTCCAGTCATTCCCAATTGAGCTTTGCTTCGAGTCTAATGTATTAATTGTTTTTACTCTAATCCTTGTTGTTCTTGGAGTGATAAGTTTACAATTTGACATGAGTGACGAAGAGTCGAATAGTTCTAGTCGGAGTAGTGAGAGTTGGAGTTATAGATCTAAAAGACCTAAAAGTAAATTTGATGAGTTTTTCGACATAATTCATGCATCCCAAATTGCTTTGTGTAAATTATGCCAACATAAAAAGGTTGAAATAAAAATGAAAAACAGAAACATTTGAGGCTTAAGGAAGCATCTAATATCTTTCCACAAAAAGGAATCACAAATATTTCTTCCTGAAAAACCAAAATTAAGTGGAGATATCACAAGCTTTTTAATAACCACCGGAAAAAGTGGTCAGGTAAGAAAAAATATACTTATCACACAATTACATAACACATATATTATGTAACTAGCGGTCGTCCGCGTACAATATCTGATTTCCTATGAGATTTTGAAATTTTCTCGCTGCAAATGTCTTACCTAAGTATAAACAGGCTATATAGGTAAAGCTTAACTATGCAAGTATTTATTATTTAAAACTAATAAAGTAAATGTCGATCTTCATATCTATACTTTAAAAATATAGGAATTGCATGTAACCATTTTACCCCAAATTCACCCCCTTAGGGTTAGGATTTCGTAAAACAGCTTATTCAGGATTTTATTATTGAAAGCTTATAACTTTAATGCCGATTTTCGTGTCTCTAACTTCAAAAACGTAGGACTTTCATACAAAATTCCAACTCCCACTTCAATAGATTAGATTTTCTCAAAACCGTTTCTTAACTAATCTCTATGCCATAAAAGGAACCTACCTTACAAACTTCAAGTTTGTATATTTTATAGTTCCTGAGATATCGTTATAGTCAGTCAGTGAGTGGTAGTTATTATATATATATATATATATATATATATATATATATATATATATATATATATATATATATATATATATATATATATATATATATATATATAGATTATAGTGTTAAATATGTATTTATAATTCACTCATATTTTCATTTGTTTTTATAATGCGCGAGACACATGATTTACTGTTTTATTTCAGTCTGAAAATAGCAGTGACAACATCACGACAGCTACAGTTGATTGGATGGTTAAAAAATATCTTCCCTTCTCATTTTTCGATGACGAAGCCACACAAGTATATTTTCGATCAATTTGCCCAAATATGGTGTTTCCTAAAAGGTCCACACTTAGAAGGAAGGTCAAAGAACGGTTTGAAGAGCTTCAATTGAATCTTAAGAAACGACTACAACAATTTTCATCTAAAATGTCATTTACCATTGATGGATGGACGTCAATTGTTGGTAGGAGTTACTACGGGGTCACTATTCATTATATAGACAACGAATGGAAGTATCGATCTGTAGTCCTTGATTTTATACCATCACGCGGTCGACATACTGGGGAAGATATTGCAACGATTTTCCACGAATGTTTATTGGAATATGACATAATTGATAAACATACCGTCGGTCAATAAATAGGCCTAATTTGTTTTTACCAGAGCTAAGCGTTCGCCGAAAATTTCACAGTAGGCGAGCAATCCGAGTTCAATCAATCCCCGTCGGCTCCAATGAAATTGCGGTGAAAGACAAAATCTGAGAATACCTACGCATCTGAGGAACAAAGATATATCTAAGACATATGTAGTCCGCCAATACGCACTGGAGCTCTATTATCCTTAACTAATTTAGAGGAAGCTTGTGCTCAACAGTGGAACGTATATAGACTTTACAACTGCTTTTTTCTTTACTAGAGTATTATGTAAATGTTGTGGAAATTTAGTCGTAATTTACACACTAAACAAAAATCAATGTATTATTGTTTACCTCGCCGGATAACAATAATTACAAATTGTAATCGGGACTGAGTTTTAAAGTAGTGTCTGACTTTAAAACGAGACAGCCGAATTTTGGCACTCTCATAGAATCAATCATAGAAGTATTTTTTTATTAAATTCTGACGTTCTAATTTAAGATTAGAGCAAACATTGGACTTTGTATTCATGACAGAAGCATTGACTAAATTAATTGAGCACATGGCCGCCCCGTTTCGATGATTGATTGATGATAAATTGGAAAAATAACTTTGATTAAGGAAAACTTCGTCGAAATAGATTTCATAAAAGCAATGAGAAACCCTTAATCTTATTTGATATCAGTACCCGGATGACCGAGCTTTGCTCGGTTTTTTTTAAGTTACATTTATATACAAATTACATGAATAATAGTTTTTGATTTTATTGACATAATAAAAAAAACTGAACTGGTTATTTGAATAAAAAATCATGAGTGCAATTAGTTTAAGTAGTAGTCGAAATAATAGATTTTCTCACAAAAGAAGGGAGCTTGAAAAAAATGAAAAAAGTCGGACGCAAGACGGGACGCGAACCACAGAACACCGATATCACGTCCGAACAACATCCCATCTGAGCTATTACGATCGTTGGTAACCTGTCAAAATTTACCTTCTTATATTGTAGCAGTTTTTTTATTGCCTGAAAACACGGACAAAAGGACATTTTCTAAAAATAAATCCTAGCTAGATCGATTTATTGCTCCCGAAACTCCCTGGACACTAAATTTTATGAAAATCGTTGGAGCCGTTTCCGAGATCCCGATATATATATATATATATATATATATATATATATATATATATATATATATATATATATATATATATATATATATCTACCGATTATATTATATATATATATATATATATATATATATATATATATATATTTATATATATACAAGAATTGCTCGTTTAAAGGTATAGGATAAAATGTAAAGTATATTTGTCTTTAAATCCCGTCAGTACAGCTGAAAGGATTCAAACGAAATTTGGCATTAGAAATAGTTTTCTAATGAATTATGTCATGGAATAAGACTCAAAAATACTTTTAAAAACAATTATTGTTACTAAAATTTAAATTACATCCTGCGAAGCGGCTGGTAAGCTACTTATTAATAAGTACCTAACTTTGGCCGGCGTTAGAAAAAATATATTAATATACTCAAAAATAAATTTTGCTCAGAGATTGATTATAGTACCGTGTGAGCTAGAAGTACCGTGTGAGCTAGAAAACTAATAAAAAACAGAAATATCACATACACAGATAACATTGTAGGATTCAAACTCGAGCACTCCGGCGCGGCGTTAGAATTACGCTCTAGCTATTTGGCTATGGAGATTAGATATGCCACGAACATTCAGTTTATATTCGGTATTCGGCCTATTCTGTAACTTTGGTAATTATTTGGTATTCCGAATATACCGAATACAAAACAGTCACACATATTCCTCAAAAATGAATATACCGGCGCGTTTATAAAATACCGGTTGGATCACTCTGGCGGAGTGTCACGTCTATAGTGGCGTGGTAGAATTGAGGGTATATCTCTGAGAGGCTGCCCTCTGTTACGTTGAGATGGGTGGTATCACTGTTATTATGTCCTTTACGTTATACCAGTGTGTAATTGTGACGGGAACAAATTACGGAATGGTCGAACTGTAATTGCTGTATACTTAATGTATAGTGCGTTACTCTGTATAGTGCGTTATTCATAATGATATTGATTAATTGCGTAAGCAAGAGAGCAAGTCGAACATCCGCTCTTACACTTTAATTGTTTTTAACAATTAACGCTCTCCTGTTATAATTCCGAGATCAGAATTGGAATCTCATGTTGTATTTCCTACAAATATATTTTACCAACAAAACATTTCAATGGATACTTAAAATTTATCAGAGAAAATTTTGTGATGAATGAAAACAATTCTTTCAGCAATTTGTGGATAGCACCCGATTGCGCTTTTCCTCATAAACTACCCCGCTACTGAAAATAGCCTCTCAATTTATACACTACTAACGCGTGATGATTTGGATACTGTTGTACGTTTGCGGACCACTACTTATAAGGGTCTGCTGTCCGATCTAGGAGAGTAGATTTGCAATAACACTTCTTTTCCACATACTCATCTTTCTCCATATTTTCTAAGATATATCCATATTTTCTCCATATTCTCTTTTTCGAATTCCTCAAAACAATTCCAGAAACTGTTGCCGGCCGAAACGACGCATATTCGACGCGTCACCCAAGAGCGTGAGCGGATATTCCGTGTTCGGCAAAATCACTATTCCTAGTATCTCTAAAAGAAATTATCTTTGTGTGAATTATCTCAGTGCGAATCCCGCATGAAAGTATATAATCCTAGTGTAGTGGTTACGTTTAAAAAAATATGGTGCCCACGCCATATTTTTTTCAAGTTGTGTGTTGTTGTTTCAAGTTCAATTTCTTGTACTGTGAGTAAAAACACTGAGAAAACGATTTTTTCCAAAAATCAGACATAGCTATCGATTTTTCGCTATTTATAAGTCTATATTGTAAATTTCATTAAATTGTTAGAGCAATATAAATACTGTTCGTAGATTAGAAAAACATATAGCATCTTATAAAAATCTTCTCTTATAAATATCTTGTAAAAAAATGAGATTCAGTTTATTACCATTAGTCTCTGACACGTGTTTTAAGGTTCTTAAAAGACGCTTCCTACTTATGCAAATTGTTAAATGCTTAATTAAATTAAAAGAAAAAAAAAGATTATTATAGAATTAGACATAATGTACATATTGAAGCAAATTCTTCATACTCGCAAAGATAACGGCAAATGTTATCATTAAGATCACCTCATTGCTTCACATGGCTCTTTATCATATTTGCTCTTATTTCAGTTGCTAACTAGTCACTTACATCATAGTATTTTACTTGTATATCTGTTGGTTCATGACGTAATATTATAGACTCGTACAGTATGACACACCGTCAGATGTCATAAGATTGAATGATTGTGTAAAAGCTGTGACTATAATATTCTCAGTATGACTGCCTCCTTGGTTTTTTGGTCATTAGCATAACTGCTGTTTATGTAGTCCCCGGTTCGAATCTCGGTTCGGGACAAGCAATTAGTTATAAGGGTTTTACTGTCAAGAAATTCTCATTAGCAGCCCAGAGACAGGAAGTTGGGATTGAAGTCAAGTTCTGTCTTATAGTCGGGCGCCCAATCTTTACGTTAGTGTAGGATTATCCTCTCATCTGCCCATCTGTGCTTGCGCACACATTCGTGCACTATAATCCTGTCCTGCACAGGACTGCACTGACTGTTCCCCATTGAGACTGGCCGCCCTGTGCAAAATTCTTTCTGAAGGACATTACTAATTGTTGTTTCATCGGATTATTAAGAATGAGAGAGTAAAGGATACCTATGCTTGCACATACACTCATTCACTATAATCCTATCTTGTGCAGATGGCTAGCCTCCATTGAGACAGGACATTGTGACCAAAATTCTGTCTGGAGGACTGGGATAGATGTTAAAGAAAACAAATTTACTTACTCTGCTCTTTCTTTCAGTATATGTGCAAATTTATCCTTTCCCACGCAACCAAAATATGTGCAGATCTTGGGTTTCTTTAGAATCCATTGTGCTACACGAAGAGAATTCTGGACACTGCCGCCAGCTAGAAATTCCGCGTTATAACTGAAATTAATTGGTTTTGATTAGCATACACAATGTAATATAATTTCTTACTATAATACCGACATCAGAATTAAAGTATCTGACATAGCCCAACGGATAAATAAAGTTGAAGTGGCAATGTTCGGGCCATATAAACTCGAACAACTTGAGGTGAAAGTTTTATAAGTGGCCTAATACCAGTAAGCTCTGGTATGTGCTCTCAGTGGTGATAGTATTTTTTACACACAATATTTATACACAAAGGATTCATACCATTTTGTGAGTGAGATACAAGACCTACATCTCGCAGTTTTGTTGTTCAGTCACTATTTACATGCCTACCTATTATTGGCTGCATCTCAATTGTAACTAGGAAGCTAGAAGAAAATAACATGCCTCAAGAATATGCAATATTACTTGAACACTGCCTCACATCTGGCTATCTATTGTGGAAGGAGTTCTACAAGCATGTAGATGGTGTGCCGATGGGCTCACCTGTGTCTCCCACATTCACCGACATATTCATGGAGGATTTTGAGGAGAAAGCCCTTCTTACTGCTCCTGTAAATCCAAGGTTCTACAAGCAGTACATAGACGACATTTTAACAATTTTACCATCTGACAAAGTAACTGCATTTTTAGACCACCACCACATAAACTCTAAAATACAATTCACAATGGAGTTAGAGGCAAATAATTCTTTAGCCTTCCTAGATGTTTTAGTCATCTGAAATCCTGATAACACTATTGGTCACACTGTGTATAGGAAAAAGACCCATACCAACCGATACCTAATCGGTGAATCTCACCATCATCCTTCACAGTTAGCTACCGTGGATAAATCTTTGTTTCAGAGAGCATGAGGGATCTGTGACAGAAAAAATCTGGTCGCCGAGCTTCAGCACGTCAAGCAAGTATTGCAAGACAACAAGCTTTGGGTCCGGCACCTACGTCACAGTGAACGAGTGAAGCCGGCCACAGTCGAGCGCGCGCCTGCTGTACTACCGTATGTCAGAGGAGTCACAGACAAGATTGGCTACATCTTGAAGAGAATGTCCATTAAAACATACTACAAGCCGCCGAAGAAGATTAGTCAATTTTTACCATCCAGCCAATGTAATATTCCTCTACAATATGCAGATGTGTACAAGCTAGATTGTGAATGTGGTCTCTCTTACATAGGTCAAACAAAAAGATCTATAAAAACCCGCGTGAAGGAACATATAGCTGACGTGAAGCACCAACGCTTTGGGAAATCTGCAGTCTGCGAACATGTTCAAGATCGTCCCCAGCATTACATTAGATTTGATAAACCACAAATCCTCGCAAAAGAACACCGATTCCTACCAAGGATGATACCGCGAGGCTATTGAAATTAAAAAACATCGAAATTTCAATAGAGAAGATGGATGGGTGCTGCCATCTGCTTGGTATCCTATAATTAACAAAATTAAACCCAAAGCCAAGCATACCACTGCAAGACTTTATGATACTATAAGCTGGTTTTGTGTAAATCGGACCAAAAATGAATATTCAAAAACTGAAGGTAGCCGGACTAACTACGACATTGTGACGTCAAACATCTCAGTCCCCCCCGCGCCGTGACCATGGGTGATGTAAAGCACCTGAAACAACAGGATGATAAAAATAAATGAAAGTAGTAATTAATCGCGATAAAATCCGTAAATAATAGTTTTATTCAATGTGTAGTGTTCGCGTAAATTTAAGAAATCATTAAAGTGAAATGTATTGTAATATAATGTTTCTTTGTTTGATTCCAAAAACATTTTATCAAGCTTACTCTATAACTGAAAATAAATCTACAGTGCCTCAAAAACGAAAAAAAAAAACAATAAAAGTAGATTAGCCCATAAATAAAATATACTTTCAACAGTAATATTATGTGACATGGCATCACTCAATTCGGGTAAATCTACTAAATAGACATCCACTATCCTTCCCCATTTGCGGAAATGTGTAATTTATGAGTAATAATTTTTTTGGTAAAAGCATAACCTTACTTTTTTACACAGGAATAACACAAAGTCGCCTCTGCAGGTTCGGCTTATTGGTCCTCCAACCAGCCTCAACAGCTACAGCTACGGGGCCTGCGATTTGCTACAGCGTGTGACAGGCTTCTCTCCCTCCGCGCATAATGCTTTAGAAAAACACTCTAGGGGTAGGGCAGACAAGACTATGTGAAGTCGGGGCATGCTATTTCAGTTTTAGAACCAATTCAACTGATCGTATCTATAAAGTCTGGTTGCCCTAAATTCTGCTATAATAGTGGTAATTGTGAATTGTTATAATTTTGTTTTCTGAAAAACCTCTTGACTGCTCTCCACTGCGACTCAATTTATTGTATATAAGTCTTGTCTTCAGCCACAAATGGATTATCTGGGTCCGAGTGATTAACTTTTTATGGGTGCATTTGTGTTAAAAAAACAAATTGACATATTTGCGTTTCATTATATGCAATTTTTAGTGAAATTTATCTTTATCGTAATTAATTTAAAAGGCATTTCCGACATCCAAAAACAGTGTTAAAGGTTCAAGCTTAACCCTGACAAGCCTCCTAAACTGAAAACATAATTAAAAGCAAGTACTGGATATCTATAGCCAACCCCTCATTTCAATACAATGGACACTTTGAGTACCGCTTTAAGGAATGTTCGGTGATTTACATGATTCAATAAAGCTGCCGAATATGAAATGAATATTCGGGCAATCTCTAATAACTATAAAGATAATTACTATAAAAACCATTTCTGCCTGTTTGACATTAAGCAACTTTCATTGATAGTAAAATATATATTATTTTCAATAAATCTGTTTTCTGTTTTATGGAATAAGGGTGACAAAAATATATAGTCCACCTGATGTTAAGGGGATACTGTGTCCCATAGGTATCTATACCTATCCTCAAATTATAATCAAAATGCTAATGCGTTGTCACTCTTGAGGGCTAAGATTAAATGTTTTGTTTCTAGTAAAAAGGGTCTCCAGTTCTTTACATTTACCATACAAAACACAGCAGCATTAAGCTGCTATTACACGCTGGTATTCTGTGAAAGTGTCATTCTTTCCCAGTTGAGCTGACCCATAATATAGCAATGTATGGAGTACAACCATAATATAGCAATGTATGTATGCATTTTACAAACATACACATTCATATTTTTGAAAATAATTTTTAAGGCAAGCTTCTACAAAAAATATATTTTTTATAGCTTTTATAAGTTACCTCGTGTGCATGCTTATAAGTAAAAATTTATGCATAAAAATCATACTTCTCTGTCAGTTCTTTATACAAAGGCATGTGTTTTTGTTCTGCCATTATAGCGTCATCAGGATGCAAATCATATTTCTTCAGCAATTCCTCATCAACAATGGCAGAAATATCTAGTAGTGGGTTTCCAATGCCTACAAGCAGACCTTCCATGTTGCAGTTAAAGCTAAAATAATCAGGAAAATATTAGTTTAACATAGCGTTAAAAATTTATAAGAACGGTTCAACGGACAACGGAACAATTCAAAGTATTTTGATACTAAAGTTACATCTTTTTTTAAATGCACGTACCAAAATATGGATTTGATGTTTAATACTTTTCTACTAAACTCACAAAATTTTTATTTTGATCAAAAAACAAATATAGCAAAAGGAAGTATATTATTATTATATATATTATGTATATAAATAAGTAAAAGCTCACCTAGGACTATCCATTATGTAATGTAAAACTTAATTTTTATTGACTTAGACTTTATCCAGAAGTCTCTTGCAACATTCAAGAACAAAAACGGGTATGTCAAAGCCTATATCAACTGTCTTATAGGTACGTAATACGTATTACTATCTAATATGTGCAGCATGCAAACATCTAACATAGCATCATTGAATGTTTCAGTCACTACACAAAAAAAGTGTTCACGTTTTCTAAGCTTACGGCAGCTTACGGAATGGAAGAAGAAGAAATGAAGAAAAGAAGAAATGTGTTCTGAATAAAACGTCACAAATGTCAAATACTGATTGACTGCTGTCAGAGTATAGAAATCTTGATCCATAGACTTATGACCGTATCCTCTATCTACATCTTGCGCGCACTCATTGAGGTTCGTAGACAGAGAAACCTAGAGAAACCTATACTCCCCTCGGTATTACTCACTTTCCCGATAACACCGATCACGCCCCCGATGTACTAGATTTTGCGTTACTCCAAGGAGTTTCTCTTAACCTCAGAGCAATCGAGACACTAGACGATCAAGGATCCGATCACCGACCGGTCTCCCTCATTCTTGGCCATCAGCCACCTCCCCCAACACACGAAAACCTTCACTAACTGGAAGGGATTCAAGGAGTCCCTAGCTAAAGCTCTGGACTCACAGGACTCTACCATCTCCCTACCGTCGGACTTAGACAGTCCCGAAAAAATCGACACCGCGGTCGATTCACTCTCCACCCTTATTAAATCCTCCCTTAAGGAGAACGAAAGGGTCGTCCCGGTTGCTAACAATAGTGGGCTTCCCCTACATATTAGCAACCTACTAAAAGCCAAAAAAGCTGCTTTCCGGAGAGCAGCAAAATATCCCACCCCCGAATATAGGCGCGCGGCCAATCGTCTTCAACGAGAACTCCGTTTCCGCCTCTCTGAATTTCGAGACCTCGAAAAGAGTACACTCATGGAGAATATCTCTCCATCTCATACAGCGTACTATCAGATGGCCAGAGCCCTCCGCATAGACGCTATCACCCACACTCCCCCTCTCTCCCGTCCCGACGGCACGGTTGCCTTCGAGGACGAGGAAAAGGCTGAGTGCTTTGCAGATAGCATTGCCGCACAATGCTCTCCTAGCTCTCAACCCGTCGACCCCTCACACGTCCCGGCAGTGGAGGATGAGGTCCGCCGCCGGAACTCACCCCCTACGGCCTCCGAACCTATCTCTGTGTCCAATGATTAGATTTCATCCCTCATCAAAGGACTTAAGCCTAAAAAGGCTCCGGGCGCGGATGGCATCTCCAACCAAGCCCTAAAACACTTTCCTGAGCAGGTGTTAACCTTTTTATCTATTATCTTCAACCATTGCTTCAACCTTAGTTACTTTCCCACTACGTGGAAAGAGGCAACTGTGATTGGAATTCCCAAGCCAGGCAAGCCTCTCAACCTCCCCCTCCAGTCATCGCCCCATTAGCCTCCTCAAGGCAATGGGCAAGCTCTTCGAAAGAGTCATCCAAACACGTATGAGGCGCTATCTGTTTCCCACAGACGGTGACCCTCTTATCATTCCCCATCAATTCGGCTTCCGAGCCCAACATTCATGTCCCCAACTAGTTCACCGTATTGTGGAATATATCCTCAGCGGTTTTTATCCTCGATGTCATAAGACCATCGCGGTCTTTTTCGACATAGCTAAACCTTTCGATAGAGCCTGGCATACAGGCCTTATCTACAAGCTCTACAAAATAGGTCTCCCCAATCGTCTAGTACGTCTCGTGGCCTCCTACTTAAAGCATCGTACCTTTCGTTTTAGACACGAAGGCTATCTACGCTATCTTCACAGCGAACTATCAAGGCTGGTGTCCCTCAGGGCTCAGTACTTGCTCCTCTGCTGTACATCCTGTTCACCAACGACATTCCCATCCCGTCGAAAGGTGTTCAGCTCTTCCTCTTCGCAGACCACACTGCTATCTACTGCAAAGGTATCTCACTACCCTTCATACGGAATAAGATCCAAAAGTCAGTTGATGATCTAGGAGCTTGGTTCAAAAAATGGCGCATCGATGTGAACCCGGAGAAGAGCTCCGCCGTTCACTTCGATTATAAACGACGCCATCTCAAAAACACTCCACCAATACGTATGCTAGGGACCCTAGTCCCCTGGCATACGACCGCCAAATATTTAGGTGTCACTCTAGACACAGGGCTCACTTTCAGGCTCCACGTCAAAAGAGTAACCCGTCTCGCACGGTTCTATCTGAGTAGGCTCAACAGTATGTTGGGCCGACACAGTAAAATGTCCCTTAGAAACAAGCGTACCCTTTATAAGGTCTGTATACGACCAGTCATGTCATACGCGGGGCCCGTTTTTGCCCATGCCAACCCTAAAATTATTAATGAACTCCAAATAGTTCAAAACCTTTTCTGTCGTCGAGCTGCGAACGCACCTTGGTACGTCCGTTATGCTGACCTTCATCGGGACCTAGAGTTCCCCACAATCCAACAATTTCTCCAAAAACTCTCTGAGAACTTCTTCAAGCAAAACCGGTGATCGCTACCAAGCTATTTCTAATTTGTCTTTTTGTTGATTGTAAAATGATGTAACTATTATTGAAAAAAATATCCCGTCTTTCTTCCCACAATTCGAACAGTAAAAAAAATGACCTTCAATAATATTTTTATAATCTACATTGATAAAAAGTTTCTATTTCTATTTCTATTTCTATTTCTATAAGCCTTTAGTCGCACTCAAATCATTTAATTCGTGAGGCAGCTACTTATGCAGCCCCACCCCCCTCTCGCTATCGAGTCCGCAGGCCGAAAAACTCTCTCTCGGACCCGCCTAATAAACTAACTAACGACCTGAACTGCCTCCTGGCGGCTCAGGCTAACTCTAATTAAATTAAATTATTACTCACTCATAATTAATTTGCCTTCGTAGGCACTCCCTCAGCGGCTCGTAGCCGCCTGCGCCCTCTTTTCCCAAAAGAAGGTCGCTCACGATAAGGCACAATAAAGCTTAATCAGCCGGCTGCTTGTCCCCAAAGGCGGTTTTTAGAGGGTATCACTTAGGGTCCCCGGTAGGACAGTGAGTCCCTCATAACCACGATAGACCGGCTATCGTGGTACGCGTAATGCATTTTCCGCCTCCCTACGTATAGGGTAGCCCTTTAATTGCTTCGGGCGCAAAGAAAAAAGAAACCTATAGACTAATGATCGGCGTGACCTCGAGTGAGAAAGGACGATAACAAATTTTTAGGTTATACAATAATCTTTATGACTTTTAAACACATTTAGATTAAAAATTTAATTGTTCTAAGAACTGAACTGAACAAGATTCACCAATCTTAGGCTCACAAAACACTTTTTTCTCACTTAAACCAACTTGTAAACTCCTTAAATCGCTACGCTTTCAAAGTTGTTTAGCAAACTGTAGAGTTTGCTAAACAAAAAAACCAGCACGGTGAAAGGGACAAACAATCACACCGCTCTATCTCATTTCTATGCAAGACGTATGCATAAATCTATCTTTTTCGTGTGCGAATGCGAAAGAAGGCGTCAATTTGTCTATAAGTTTCTCTGTCTACGTTGAGGTTATAAAAAATATTTTTCTAACCTCGAAGTTAAACTTCCTTGCGCGCACTATATTATATACTTGAATTCTTGATCTATGCACTATATCATTGTGGTACATAACCTTCGACCATAGAATTCGATGTGCAGAATAAAAACAGAAGAATAAAACGGTGGGTGTTGGATTAACGAACGGTTTTTTAAAACAGCTTTTCTATCAGAAAAGAATTAACTGTTTTTCATTACTAAAAAAGATTGAAAAAACGAACTGATTTCAATTTATTTTCTTCTTACACAATTAATGTTATTGATGAACGAATTAACATGACGTTAATTTACCGTGTAGTGGTGGTGTAAGAATATCAACTACTCAACTAGCCCATATCGTCTCAATAATCATGCAGAGCTGCCTCTTCCTAATTAAAAGTAATTAAAAAAATGTGTGCAGTTCACACGCGGTAGAAGTGAAAACTTCAAATGACTAAACTTCAAGAGAATGAGTCGAACGCAGAGTATCAGGAGTATAGGCGTACAACGGATATTTACCCAAAGCAGCCGATACGCAACGTTGTCAACCAATTGTTTACCATTATCGCCAGCAACAGATTATTTTGTTTTTCACAGTGTTCGTATAAAAGACACAGTTGTATTTACGGTTCTTGAAAATGTGCTACTAGTATCTCAAATAAATGGACTATTATACATTATAGGGCTTTCTGTCGTTTATTCATTAACAAAGAGAAAAAAACTTCATGCACAAAAAAGTTTTTATCCATTTCAAGTCATCAAAAGCATGATTAAAACTACTTTTACTAAGAAATCATTATCATCAAAAGCAGTTATCAACCGTTGAAAACGGAAACAACCATGTTAACGGCTCGGTTGAAATCACATCTATAATCAGGAGTAGGATAATTATAGGGTTTATTTATAAGAATATTGTTACATTACATTTTAAAAAAATAGGTAATACTGCAGACTGCAGGATAAATCCTATAGATGTATATTTGTTTCTTTTTAGTGTTGCTTTTTTGTTTCAGCGAATCACAAAGATTCTAAAAAAGTTTTCACTTCAAACTCGGCGCTCTGCGGGCCAATTCGCCTAGCAAACGTGGCAATTATGGCAAAAATGAGCCCCAGGATCCTGGTTATGGAAGAAAGAATAGAGATATACAGAGATATTAAAGGATTCTTTGAAGTCCATCACCAGAGAGTGGCCTTCCGATGAGGTGTCAGATTTATCGTCCACAAGTCTCATATTAAAACGGTGTGTAGATTAGGAGTGTGATGATAAGAGTTACGTATCTTATACTCAGAATCACCAAACGGTATTCGTTAATGGTCGTACAGATTTACACATCAACCTTGCCACATCCCAATGAAGAGGTGAAGAGAACATATAAGAATTTTTCTATGGTTCATAAAAGATAGCTTGATC